TAGATAGATAAAGGCTTCTGCTGATACCAGCTTTATGCATTAGCTTCGCAAACTGCCATAAAAGATTTGGTTTGAGTTTATCGTTGATAGAGAAACTCGTGCAAGTAGTACAAGTAAATAGTTTGGCTGGCTGGGTGGTATAAGCGAGGATAATATCAGAGGTGAATTACAAAGACGGTAAATCATCGAGTGAAAAAGGGTTGATACTCGCTTTTAAGGACTCCTTCATTGCAAAAAAATAATGTACAAAAGCATACTTAAAGCAGACTTTGTGCAGGTTTATCCCTTTAATCTTTCCCTCTGCAGCAGGATTTTCAACTTTTCGGAGCGAAATAAAGGGATTACTCGTTTGGCTTCCTCGTGTCCTTGATTAAAATACACTTTGAAAGAAATATAACAGTCTCTTTGCCTGATTTAATAATAAAAATTTTTGGCTCCACATTTGCCTCGAAATTAAAGGAAACGGAAAAAGAAGAATATCTCCCTTCTTTTGTGAACGTTTTCGCTAATGCACCCAACATCTTCCCGCCGGTTCCTCTTTCGCCAATTTTCTTAGGAACAGAGAGGAACTTTCCCTGGTTGTGCTCGGCTAGCAGAAATTGCGCTCGTTTGCACTGAAAGATCGCCCCGGTCGGTGTTTTAATTAACACCACCGTTGAACACGAAAATTTGACCACGAACGGGGCTCGTCTACGCGTTAACACGTTCCCCTGTGTGCTTAACCGAAAGAAAAAAGGACAAGTTTATGGAAAAAAAGAGGGAAAAAGAGGAATTTGCTCCGTCAGAAGGTAAGCACACGTTCCGCTTATTATGCAACTTTGAACGAAACAAAAGCTAAATGAATTACATCCGTGTATTTATCGACGCGGAATATTTTACGCATTTTTCCCACCGGTGTCGATCTGTTTCAGCGCGATTTTTACAGGGAGTGAGAGAAGAATAAAGAAATAAAGAAAGAGAGAGAAGAGACAAGGTGGAAGACAGAGAGAGAGTGAAGAGACAAGGTGGAAGAGAAAGAGAGAGTGAAGAGACAAGGCGGAACAGAGAGAGAGAGAATGTGAGAGTGAAGGGACGAGGTGGAAGAGAGAGAGACAGAGAGAGAGAGAGTGAAGAGACAAGGTGGAAGACAGAGAGAGAGTGAAGAGACAAGGTGGGAGAGAGAGAGAGAGAGAGTGAAGAGACAAGATGGGAGAGAGAGAGTGAAGAGACAAGGTGGAAGATAGAGAGGGAGTGAAGAGACAAGGTGGAAGAGAGAGAGAGAGTGAAGGGACAAGGCGGAACAGAGAGAGAGAGAATGTGAGAGTGAAGGGACGAGGTGGAAGAGAGAGAGAGAGAGAGAGAGTGAAGAGACAAGGTGGAAGACAGAGAGGGAGTGAAGAGACAAGGTGGAAGACAGAGAGGGAGTGAAGAGACAAGGTGGAAGAGAGAGAAAGAGAGTGAAGAGACAAGGTGGAACAGAGAGAGAGAGAAAGAGAGAGTGGTGGGACGAGGTGGAAGAGAGAGAGGGTGAAGAGACAAGGTGAAAGAGAGCGAGAGGGAAGAATAAAGAAATACAGAAAGGGAGAGATAAAGCTAGAGAGAAAGGGGAACAGAAATGAAAAAGAAAACATCACGGTGGGTCGAAAGAAAAAGGAAAAGGAAAGAGAGGAACGGAATTAAGCACCTTCGGACGCGAACAATTACGTAGAAAAAGAACGAGCAGAATTGAGCGCAGGAAGCCGAAAGGGTGGGCTCGAGCGTGAAAAAATATGCTAAAGGACAGGAAAGAAGAAAAAGAAGAGAAGAAAAAAAAAGAAAAAAGAAGAAGTGTTCCGAGGACGCGGAAGGCATTATATAAATTCAGAGAGGCGGTGCGCCGTGGGCTGGACGCGTCCCATCTCTAATGGGTCCACCCATTATGACAATTGCATCCCCCGGATATATAAAACTAAACAAAAAACATGGGCCAGAGAGGACGGACAACGAAGCGTGACAACGATACGCCGTCGGTCGCTCCCTAGCCGGAAGAAAATGGCGAAGAAAATGGCGCGCCAACCGGCTGCTCCGCAACAGGAAATATCGTTTCGCCTCGTAGAGATTCTAATTCGTGCTGATGAGCGTTTCTACGAATCGTTGGCCCACGTTGTGTGCTTCTAAGTTAATCAGCGTTAACACGGTACACCGTTATCGTGATTGTTTATCGTTGAAAAATGAGGATTGTGGAATATTCTTAACCACTTGATGCTCGTACCTGTGTCTTTCACCGTGCAATTTTAGTTAGTTATTTTATTCCACTTTCCGTATTGCGTTGTTCTTTCTGTTATGGCGAGAAACGCGAGTTAGAGCATTATTAACAACGGGAAAATTATTTTTGTACTCCTTGCAAATAATAAAATTAATTATTTGTGGCGCGTCAGGTTGAGAAAAATGCGAACGTTAAAGGGTTAAACGCAAATAAATATTTTGAAACCCAAAGAGTGAACATTGTAAAAAATAAGAATTTCGCTTCCCAATAAGACAGCTGTTCTACCATTTCCACCTTTTTCATCCTTTTTCCCTTACAAAGTCGAAGAGTTAAGCCCAGAACGATAAATTTCGATCCTTTAGAATCCTTTCTATTTTTATTTCAACTGTGATTACATTGCCAATAATAAAATTAATCATTTCTGGCACATCACGTTGAGAAAAATGTGAACGTTAAAGCATTAAATTTAAATAAATATTCTTAAACACAAAAAAAGTTAACATTGTAAAAAATAAGAATTTCGTTTCCTGGATAAATACCTGTTCTTCCATTTCCACCTGTTTCATCCTTTTTTCCTTACAAAGTCGAAGAGTTAAGCCCAGAACGATAAATTTCGATCCTTTAGAATCCTTTCTGTTCATATTTCAACTGTGATTACATTGCCAAATCTCCAGTAATCTATCTCATTTACGTAATTTCACTGTTGCAAATGGATAATGGTAATAACAGTAACAACGAACGTTTGCTGAACTTGGTACGCTCCGCTAGTCGGAACTTCTCAAATTTTAATCCGGGAAAATGTTCTAACAGGGTGTTACGTTGTTTCGCGTTTTCAGCTCTGTTTATACACACGCGAGATTATCAACACTTGCGTATACGCCCTGGCGTTTAGCATCCGAAAGTAAAAAGAAGAGACAGCTAGGCGCCGATTCGTAAATATCGTGTAGCGCCCAGTTACACAGTTTGCTCGTTAGACAATATTTGTTTTAACGTCCCGACGCTGCTACTCTTCGCCAGTTGCACGCATCCTCGAGCGTTGCTCGGAAGTAACACTTAAATTTGCTCACGGTTATGTCACCACGTTCTCTCGCACTCTACATACTTTCGTTCTTTTACCCGCGAATAACGTAAATACTCGTGAAAGACGAAGAGTGTTTTGAAATAGCTCTCAACCATTCCGCTGTTAAACGCAAATCATTTTTAACGATGATCGTCTTTTTTCTGTTATTGCACTTATATCAATTATTATTATAGTTACTTCACTTATATGACTAAGTAAGTATTAGGATATTTATTACGTTCGTATAGAAATTATACTATACGTAAAAGTATACAGAGTGTTCGTGTTATTAGTTTCCAACGTTCTTCTCGTATATGATCGATTTGTGAGAAAAATAGAAGAGGACAAATTTTCATTCTTTTTATACACGATACGATGGCTTGAATAGTTTTTTAAAAATTGCAATGGTTTTCGCGTGATGACAATACAACTAATTTTTTTTTTAATTGATAGCTGTAATTCCTCTTATACTATACGAAAGCGATTGACAAGTCAAGTTCAACGACTTATAACAAATTAAATTTAAACTCAATTTCGTGACAATGTTTGGTGTGGAGTGATCAACGACACACTATTAGCATCTTATTTTTATGACGATTCTTTCGTACTACGAAACTCCAGACTGAATCATTCTTTTGTTACAAAAAAGTTGTTAAACCTGACCTTTACAATTTTCTTCGCGATTTCCACAAATTGCAATTTTTCCCAAAATTTTGTCTACACGTCATCTTTTATAATATACTAATCCTAACTTCTCAAGAGAAACTCAAACCGTTAGGTCTAATTTAAAAGAAGTTATACTGTTCTGCACAGTGTCTGAATATTAATGAGATTCACTGTATATGTAGTTTAGTTTTTCCAAAAATTCCAATACCTGTGACAGAGAAAATTTCCAAAACATAATCTCCCAACAGGGAAACCACTTTAATTGCTATCAACAAAAAGTTAAATCATTCTTTTCCAACTTTAAAAAAGTCGTCCCTTATACTCCTAATAAGTCTCCTAATACTCCTAAAAGAAAGTGTAAATACCATATGACTCCATTATAACAAAAATTAGGTTAACGATAACCTACCCTCCACTAAACAACCCAAACCTATCCTCGCTTGAATAAAACTTTCTCGTCACCGTATCACATTTAGTTTGCAATATCACGATTCACGTTTCGTCCTTTTTCACACAGTCTTCCCTATTTTTTTTTTTTTTTCTCAATCATCGTGGCTCACTTGAACTATCGTTGGGCGTCCAACTGCGCCAGCCTCGCTCCATAACTTTCCCGTAATGTCCACGCTAGCACACCGTGCGAGTACCGTTCGCGTTAGGCAACGCGATTAAATCGCGAACTGATATTGGCATACGGGGAAATTTACAGCGAATACTCCGCGACATTTCTAACCGTGTTTCGTGGATTTTAATTGAATGCCTAGCCAGTAGTTGCGTGTCTCTTCATCTCTCTCTCTTTTCTTAGTTTCACCATTTTCCTACTTCGTCCAGGTTTACGCGAAAGAGAGTCGCGCAAACGAGAAGAAATAACGGGGAAGAGCAAGTAAAAAGGAGACAAGAAGATGCATTGACATACATAGGTGGAATTTGCGTTTAAAAGGAGTGTAAAAGGCTGTAAAGTTAGACGTTTGTTCTACTGAAAAGTCTAGGAGAATGTAATACATACTTTGTTCCTCCAGTGAAATTAACACACACGTTTTTACGTGTTTTCAGAGTGCGACTGGGTTTACGAGGACACCGACTGCCGCGACGGATGCGTGCTAGCCAGCCCCGGATATCCTGGCCTATATCCCCCGAACATCCGGTGTCTCTACTTAATTACTTCCGGCCAGCGAATGTCCATCGCGATTAACTTCACCGATGTGCTTCTACCTTACAAGTGAGTACAATCTCCCGGCGCTTTTCTTTTTTCTTCTTTTTTCTTCTTCTATCGCCCCGCTAGTTTTCATCGTTACAATTTATCTCTGCTGTATACCCTCGAACGAGGGTAAAAGCAATTTTTAACGACCAGAGGAGAGGAGGTTTAATTAAAACGTTTTGTTTTATCGCGACGTAATGTCAATGGAATTCGTTTGGAACTTCAGGCCTCGTGTGGGACCTTTGCAAGTTAAAATGTAACAGTTTCGTCAGGATTTTGACATATTCGCATAGTTTGCATTAGGGAGATTTCTAATTTTAGACGAGAAATTTTTGACATGTCATATTTGACACAAATTTTAGACTTTGTTATACAGCGACCGAAAAAAGTATTCCTGCACCCTGTAAAATGGAATAACTTTTTTAAAATTGGGCCAAACGACTTGAGTTTTTTTTAAGAAGTTAGAAGGATTAGTTTACTAGATGACGTGTACGAAATATCATCGTTTCATCTTCACGAACCAACGTGAACGTTCCGACGCGCGAAATATTAACAACGTTTATCGAACTTTTGCGCGGGTAAAATAGGTGTCGCTGCTATGTAAACACGCGTGCAATAATTCCAGCAAATAGCATTTGCAGTCGCGAGTAGCGACGCGGGGGTTTCTGGCGTTCGACATGTCCGCAAATATTTAAGTAACAGCCTCTGGTTCCCGAGGATCCAGGCTGGTAAGCGTCGCGTTGCGCCTCGAGGAGGTGCCGCGCGCGTGCAAGCTGTACATATTAATGTGACGGGACGACGAAACGCGCGGCGAAACCAATTTCAAACGGAACTGGAGACTGGGTAGTCTACGGAGGGGGCGCCTCTCGAAAGTGTTCCACGAAATCCGGGGAATATAGAAATGTCGCGAGTCAATGCGCGTTTCTCGGTTCGCAGAGGGGAGGGTGGCTCACTTTGTGAAGGATCACGACGACGAGGCTTGATAATGCGCCGCTCGTTGCCGACAAGCTTCCTACCCTCGAGCGGGAAGAAACGCAGCGGTGAGAACTCCTGTTAGTTCCGTGTATCGAGTTACCTTCGTTCTCCACCCTCCCCCGCCGAGCCAGTCCGCTTTTCTTGCCACCGCCCCTCGAACGTTTTCGAGCACGACCCGCGTTTACTTTGCGCGACCGCTTTTCAAATCGAGGGCACTTCCTTTTTTCCAGGGGTGTCGGAGGGTAGTTTCTGTCAATGGAGAAAGAAGTTTTCTTTTGTCTCGCGTTTGATTGTGTCAGGATAGTGATGGAGTAAGGGGAGTATTCTTTATTTGTCTAAATGAGGAGTTAGGGTAGCTTTTGTGAATGGAAAGGAATTCATTTTTATTTCGTTTTTAATTATGTTAGATTAGTGCCAAAATAAGGGGAATATTATTAATTTATCTCTAAATGGATAGTTGGGGTAGTTTATGTCGAAGAGAAGATCTCTTTTGTTTCGCATTTGATTGTGTCAGTGTTACGTACCTTTCGTACCTCAGGGCCTCCGGTTTCGGTCAGTCCATTCAAGGAGTGTAAGTAACACTCGCAAAACAAAGAACTAATATCCGGATAGTGCGGTATCCCAAAAATAACTTATTCTTTATTTCTAAGCGCTTCTTAAGATTTCCGGCGTCCGTCTTGCTCGACGGCTATTTCCAGAATGTCCTTTCCGCGTCGTATCCCACGTTGCTCCGAAAAACCGTTGGAGCCCCCTCGTTCGACTTTCCGGGGAAAGGGCTTAGTTTATGGGACCCTCAGGTCCCCGCGCGCTTTCTCTTCCTGGGTGACAAATTCCAGGCCACCACTTTGCCGCCGGAATCTCGCATTTCTTACAGGAGTTTACCTGGGATAAGGGCGGCGACAGTGACTACCGCAGGATTAATTCACACAAGTTTATCGACTATCGGTTTCTGTACAGAGGCGTTCCTTGATGCAAGGATATACAACTGAGTGCCCGCGCTGGAAGCGCGTTGGTTTTTTAAGCTGCTTCCCTCTCCTGTTCTCGGGGTGGTGGAAATGGGTTAGAGGAGGAAAGATCGAGACAAGGATAGATAGTTTGGGAATTTTCCGGACAGTACAGCGAGCCTACCCGAGTTTAGACAATTGCCCCTTTTTTGGGGCATCGAAGGATGTCGATGACATGAACCAGACGCGTGGCACTCCGACCCGGTGCCTCGCATAGTCTCGAGTGACGCACCCGGTTCTTGTCTGATTTATTGCACTACCCTTGAGTGGCTTTTCGCTGTAACTGCCCGAAGAAATTTTGGCGAATGCAGAGTATGTGACCGTTGTAGGATTTCTATGGTTTCCACGAAGGCAAGAGAGGTTCGCGAGGCTCGAATGACGGACGTAACATTAGATTAGTACTACAATAAGTGGAATGTTCTTTATTTATTTAAATGTTAGGGTAGTTTTGTCAATGGAAAAGAATTTTTCTTTTGTCTCGTCTTGAATTGTGTTAGGTTAGTGCTAAAATAAGTGGAATGCTCTTTATTTATCTAAATGGGTAGTTAGGGTAGTTTCTGTCAAAGAGAAGACCTCGTTTGTCTCGTATTTAATTGTGTTAGATTAGTGCTAAAATAAGTGGAATGTTCTTCATTTATCTAAATGGATAGTTAGGGAAGTTTCTATGAATGGAAAAGAATTAATTTTTATTTCGTTTTTAATTACGTTAGATTAGTGTTAAAATAAAGGGAATATTTTAAATTTATCTAAACGTCATTTTAATAGATTTAATCCTGGAAGCAACAATTTTATATTTAACTATTCTTTTTATCTACTTTTTCACTAAAGGTTTCGTCCAGTTAAATAAATAAAAGGTAAATGCAATGTTTAGCTTTAGAGTATCTATTCTCATCTTTCAAGGCTAAAATCCGAATTAAATATTCGTGATAGAAAATACTTGAAATTACAAAAATGTAGGATTTCTGTGCGTGAGACGGTATGAGCGTGATCGAGAGGAAATTTTTAGAGTGTCAGAAGACTTTACAGTATCAGTTGTGAAGATTGATTAAATTCTTTGAATATAGTGTGCAGAGATTAAAAAAATATTTTCTGAAATACGAAGAGATTTGAAGTACCGAGCGGGTCGAGTCTTTGACACAGAATCTTAATGATCGTGCCAAAGAAAAAATCGCTTTTCAGAAAATAATTACTTAGAATACAATTTTCATCATTCAACGATCAACACATCGCTAAAATTTCTCTCTCGCCAATTCAACGATAGAACAAAAATCAGGTCCAATTCGATCATTCTCGAGTTCCTCGTAGATCACAGAATAGAATCTAACCTGCCTCTTACTGTGTAATTGCAAAACGGTTGAAGGAATATGTATATCCTCGATCTACGTCGTGGATCCTCGCCTGGTTCACCGTATCGAAGTTGTTCGCGTGCGTGCTCTTAATTAGTTTCGTATTTCATTGCACGCTGAATATGTATAAAGCATCGTTTCTCGTTTCTCGTTACCGCTTGTTTTCGAACTTCGACAATTTACCGCGGAGAGGTAACTTCGGTCCATTATTCGCGGGTGCAGGCCCTGTACGCTGGGGAACGTGTTTTAGGTTTCTGCTGTGTGTATGGTAATCCGAACTGGAGGCGGCTGGCGTGGAAATCTTCGCGCTAACTGGCGAAAGCCGATGTCGGGCTATCAAATCACGACCTGCTTGCTTCTCTTCAATGAAGCATCGTGTCTCTTGCTCGTTAACAGCGAAAGCCACCAGCTTCTTATGTAGACGAACGATACATCGGATTATAGTTGTGCCGTAGTACGTCGATCTGCTGGAATTAATAGATACCGAATGGGTAGGGACTGTTGATAATCCTCTCTGTTGAAACGTCTTTAGACATTGATTTACGGAACTCCGCAGCGTTTGTGAATAATTCATGCTATTTCGGAGGTTGTCTTTTGGCGATTTGGCAACCGGAGAACCTATTACAGAGTGCTGGTGACGGAGAAGGGAGGTGGAGAGAGAGCGAGAGAAATTGAGAGAGATCAATAGGGAGAGGGGGAGAAATTGAGAGATAAATAGAGAAAGAGAGATAAACGAAGAGAGAGTGGGTTAAATAGAGAGAAAGAAAGATGAGCAAGGGAAGAGAGAGAGGGAGAAAAATGGGGAGAGAGAAGGAGAAGGCAGAAATGGAGAGAGAATGGGAAGAAATGGGGTGAGAGAGGGAGAAAAATGGGGAGAGAAGAAGGCAGAAATGGAGAGAGAGGAAGGAAGGAAGGATAAATAGACAAAGAGGGAGAAAAATCGAGAGAGAGAGAGAGAGAACATAAGGAAAGGAAAAGTGGAAAAGTAAATGCTTTTCGTTCTGTACCTCCTAATAGAGTCATCAGTTAGGCTAGCTAGGGGTCCAGTGCCTTAGACAGAAAGAACAGTCAGGCTGATTGTCAGGTCAGAAGTTCAACCCTCCTCAGCTCAATTATACTATAAGCATCAATTTTGCATATTCAAGCAAAATGAAATAAAAACTAGTAAAACCATCTGTAAAACAGTTGACACAAATAGAATAGACTTCTGTTAAAGCCCCACTAGTCAGACATAGAACATTCTAACTCTGCTTAAAAGGGCGAAAAACACGCGAAGCTCGAAATATTTCAACGCACTCTATAAAATGAAAAGTTGGTAGATAGGACGTTTTAGCTAAGAAGTGCAGAATTGCATTTGTGTGAATAGCAGCTTTGGCAAGGATTTGGGAAGAAGATTTTGGTGTTCCGCCAGTTAGTTCCTCTAGTACTACGATATTGAAGTGTGAACCACCCAATACACATTTTTTCGGAATAAAATCGCATACAGCTTACGGTAAACGTTCATCACACACGTTCGAAACATTCTACACGAATTTGCACCCCTTAAAAAATTTCACAAAAGAACAATTCCGGATTAAAAACTGAACTCTGTCATTTCTAAACTTCTTATCTCCGTTAT